AGAATCATCTTTGTCAGATAGCTATCAGACTATTTTTGGGGATTATTTAAGTACTGATTTTGGGACTCATACACTTCTAAAGGATGCAATCTTGGTAACGAAAGGGATAGGAATGGAATACAGCAAGAATCTGAGATTCGTAAAAAGCATGGATCTTTCATGCAACTTTATGTATGGAAAGATCCCTGAAGAACTTACCGACTTGCTCGCGTTGCAGTCACTCAATTTATCGAATAATTCTTTCACCGGAAGAATTCCTTCAATGATTGGTCATATGGCACAGTTAGAATCTCTCGATTTTTCCATGAACCAACTCCATGGTGAAATTCCTCCAAGCATGACGACTATGGCATTTATGAGTCACTTGAACTTGTCATACAACAATTTGATAGGACGAATTCCGGAAAGCACTCAGCTGCAGAGCCTTAACCGGTCTAACTTCATTGGCAATGAACTATGCGGACCTCCACTCAACAACAATTGCAGCGTGAATGGAGTGATACCGCCACCAACAGTTGAGCAAGACGGAGGAGGAGGATACCATATACTCAAGAACGAGTGGTTCTACGTGAGCATGGGGCTTGGATTCTTCACAGGGTTTTGGATTGTGCTTGGTTCTTTGCTGGTAAACATGCCATGGAGCATTCTTGTTTCAGGACTACTGAATAGGATAGTGCTTAAACTGTATCATGTAATTGTTGAATATGTTTAGCTTTGTTTTATGTTTGAGTGAGCATGCTGTTTGTTGGCATTTTCCTTCTTGTGACAAATATGCCAGTATGGTTGTATTGTATGATTTTGTCAAGCTTCATCTTTTGTTTGATTGTATTTTTCTTTACTTTGTTTTAAAAATATTCCTTCATAAAATTAAAAGACTTGTTTTATTCAGTAAAAATAAAATGAATGACATGGGAAATGTGTGAAAACGCTTTTTTTACATTACATGGCGTATAGAATTTTTTTTCCTTTTTACATTTACTCAACGCATAAAAGAAAAGAAAAAAAATTCTACGATGAGCCCTATAATTTAAAAAAAAAAATGTCTTTATGTGTAAATAAACGTAAAAAGAATAAAGAACTGTACATGGCTGGTAGATAATAAATAGAGAGGAAAGAAATGAATGCCTCTGAGAACCACCAAGTTAATCGCTTCACTTTACCACATTAATCAAACTCTAATCACCCAAATAACAAAAAAATCCCAAATCAGACTTACCATTTGCGTTATCAATCGGCTCCACAGCACCAGCAGCCCCTCCAGACCAGGATACCGCTTTCTCAACCAGTGGTGAAGCCAAGAATTATCGGAGGAAGGGGCGAAATTTAAAAGAGAAAGGTTCCAAACTAAATGTAGACAACCAAATTCTTCTATATAGTAGAAAACATTAAATTCGTTCATATATTTATCAAGACAAACAAGTTACAATTGTTGCCAACGAGACTTTATGCTGTAAATTTGCTACTCAATGATAGCTTTTAGTGAAGGGGGCATTGCAGTGATGCCCATCTCTTTGATCATAATACTACATGGCCTCATATTTGGTCTAGAGGACTGAATTTACATGTTTGTCCATTCAAATCCAATTCTAGAATCTAAACGAAGCCTATATTTGATACAAGCAACTCTAGTGTGATATGCCAAATGTGAAATCAGTGAACCTTATTAACTTTTTCTGTAAAAAAACTGCAACTTTAATCAATAGCCAATGCGTCAACCCTCTTCAAGCATCAAATTTTAACAAAATTTGAACTCTTTCGAATAATGGCAGCTAAATTTTACCTTAAAATTTACAATTTTGAGGACCAATCTGACTCCCACAATGAAATTAGCAGCAAAAACGGAGGATTTGGTGAAAAGCTAGTCTAAATCAAAGATCAAATTGCAATAAAAATCATGTAAAAATATGCATCAAGATTCAATTCTTCAAATTCCAAGTAGGAACAAACATATCCACTTATTCATCAATAATCAATTATTCATATCAATAATTAATATGTATATTACGTTGTAATTCTTATAAAGAATGTCAATTAAGCAAATGTTTATGTTAAATTATGAATTAATAATTTAAATTAAAAAAGGGTAGAAGGCACGGCAGTGGGGTGGAAAGTAGGGAAGTGAATGTGTGAGTTAATGGGGATGAGTGGTCCCCCTTATGTGTGTTTTTTTGATATTTTTAATGCCCAAAACGACGCCGATAGGTGTCTATTATTTTTGTTTTTCCAAGGTAAAGGACGCGTCTTCATCGTGGGATTGCTTATAACAAAACACAGCCACTGCACAGATATGTAGCCTGCAGCAGCCATGGCTTCACCTTGCAGGTTTTCCGACGACACTAGAGGGGTGGACCATCGCTTCTGGGCTTGATTTCCAGCGAGTTAAGGGGCAACCGCCCCTCCCAGACCCTCTGTAGCTTTGCCACTGTCTATAGTTACCTTCTATCTTTCTTTTTTTTTTTTTTTTGAGAAATTGCTTTAAATAATTAGTAGTTAAATTTCAATTATTAAATTGATTAAAGTTAAATATTGAAATGTATTAATCACATATTGACGACACAGTGATCAAACATTGAAGACAAATCAACTAGAGATATAGACGACATATTGAAAAACTATCATTTCATCAATTGGATTCAATAAATGAGCATGTTCGCCAGTTTCCTTTTTCTTTTTCTTTTTTTCCATTTTTTGGAAAAAATAAAGCTAATAAATAATTCCAAACAAGTTTTTAGTTTATAAATTAAAAAAAAAAAAAAACTGAAACTAAAAACCGAAAACAAAATTGTTGTTAAACAATCCCTCTCAAGTGTAGGATGACCAAAATTTAGTTGGTGTTTTTCTACGGGTCCACAGCCAGAATCCCGAATTCTTGAAGGCAATGAAAGTGATATAGCATTACAAGTTAGATGAAAATCCATCATACGTCTATAACTTTATATGGATATGGTACTATGCTCTTTTTCATTTTTCTTTTTATAATTTTTTATAATTATTATTTTTATTTAACAACTGATATCGCTAGTAGATTGAATTTTAAATATTAGGGAAGAAAAATAAGTGAAGATTGAACTCGCACCAAAATGCATAGGCATTATTATTTTCCGCCACGATAGTAAAGCTCCTTGTGCAAATATGCTATTATGTTGTTTGTAGGGAAATTGAGGATAAAAAAAAAAGTTTTCAATAATGATCAATGCACTAGATATATATACCAAAGTTTGTACCTAAGAACTATATTCAACTTTGACACGGAATTCATGTATAAATTTGGAATACAGCAAGTCATACGAAACTGTAACTGTGAACACGAAATTTTCCTGAAACGAAAGAGACAAGAACAACGTGCACAAAATAATATTTTGTATTTGATGATTTTAGGTTACAATCTCTCTCAAATTTGATCCTCCGATTCGATCTCCGTAAGGTGTGTATTTGTGGATGTGCGATTGATCCAAGGGCCGTCGAGGCTTGATCTTGGATGAACGGTTGAAAGTTTCTTCAAGGGCCGTTGATGCTTGATCTTGAATGACGGTGATGAACGGATCTTCAAGGGCTTTTGGGCTTGATCTTGAAGAACAGTGATGAACAGATCTTCAAGGGCTTTTGGGCTTGATCTTGAAGGACGGTTAGATGTGTGGATTTGTCGACGTTGTTGATCTAAAGAGCTGTTGGGCCTTGATCTTAGGATGAACGGATGATGAACGATGAACACTTTCTTCAAGGGTCGTCGGGGCTTGATCTTGAATTGGTGGAAGTTCTTCAAGGGCCGTCGGGGCTTGAGCTTGATGAACAGCAGATGAGCGGATCTTCAAGGGGCCGTTGGGGCTTGAGCTTGATGAACAGTTGATGAACGGATTCGTTGATGTTGTCTATCCAAAGGGGTCGTTGGGGCTTGATCCTTGCGGATGAATAGTTGATGAATGATGAACACTTTCTTCAAGGGGCCGTTGGGGCTTGGGCTTGAAGGCGGATTTGGCGAAGAACGAAGAGAGTTTTTTTGATCTTTCGGGATTCTTGAGAATTTGCTTGAGAGCTTTAGAGTTTCAAAGCTTCAAGGTTTTGGTGTACTATGAATTGGTCCAATGAAATGAATAAAATTGGCTTTTATTTATAGAATTTTCCAATGCCTAATTTTGAATATAATATTCCAGATGAAAGTCGTTTCTGCCCGGTGTTGACACGTGTCATGTTTGATGACTTTTCCGACTCATTTCAATTTTTCGTCGAGTCACACACTACGTGTAAAATTTATGTAATATATGAGCGTTCAAATTTTGATTTATCGGTCAACATTTATTTACCAGTCAACATTTATTTATCAAAATTTTGATGTCTACGGTAACATCTTTCCCCCTCCAGTTATGTCGCTCTTTTTTCACAAGGAAAAACATTACATTACTAAACAGGAGAAGCATCTTTCTCTCCTCCCGTTATCAATGTTGTGAACAAACTTCTTACCATTACAGAAAAAACATTGATACATTACTCCAACATTGATAGAGTACATGAAGTTTTGTTCACAGGAAAAAAAAAACATCTATGAAGTATGAAAGATCATGAAAAGCGGAAAAAAAAAAACATAAAAGCAAAAGTTTCATTCTTAATGATTATTATTTTTTAATCTAACTGTTCTAATTTTTAGTATCTTAACTATATAAGCAAATCAACCACCCTCCTAATCATGAATCTCTCATTTGAAACAAGTTAGAGAGGATTCAGTTTATTTGCTAAAGGTTGAAGCCCAAAAGACGGCGACATCTAGAGTACAAGTGTGGTGTTGAGAAAAGGAAGAGGATGGCTACGATTAAACATTAACATAACTAGAACACGAATGTGACTGGTTGGAAAATATCTAAAATGTTAGTTTCTTTATTGAAAATTGCGGACTATGTAGTTAAACATCTTGGATAAATGCTCAAAAATGAAATCCAAATTAGGGTTGTACATACATAAACAAACACATCCATATCGTTTATATCTTCCATTTGACAAACACATTTAGTTTTTTCTTTTTCTTTTTCCTTTGGTACAAAGGGTAAATTTATTACCAACAAAAGTAAGTACAACACATGCCCAACAAGAAGTTAAATACAAGAGAAAAGGAGGGTTGCAAACAAACAAAAAACAGCAACAAACAGAAAACAAAGCCACACAACAGCAAAACAAAAAAAACCTAAACTAGGTCGTCCGAAGCTGCAGCCACCGTCGCAGAAAACCACTCATTGACACGAACCAGCGACTTTCATGAGTAGCGGAGATCACACCAGCAAGAACCCCAGAAGTAAGGAAGAACCCGACTGAATCATCTTCCCCATGACCAGCAAAACAACTGCCATCAAGAAACCAAGGAAGCACGCCGGAAGTGAGATCCCACGAGCAACATCGCCAACGAGGGCAAACACAAACAGAAAAGACCACCAACAACAACAACAACAACAACAAAGCCTTTTCCCACTAAGTGGGGTCGGCTATATGAATCCTAGAACGCCATTGCGCTCGGTTTTGTGTCATGTCCTCCGTTAGATCCAAGTACTCTAAGTCTTTTCTTAGAGTCTCTTCCAAAGTTTTCCTAGGTCTTCCTCTACCCCTTCGGCCCTGAACCTCTGTCCCGTAGTCACATCTTCGAACCGGAGCGTCAGTCGGCCTTCTTTGCCCATGTCCAAATCACCGAAACCGATTTTCTCTCATCTTTCCTTCAATTTCGGCTACTCCTACTTTACCTCGGATATCCTCATGCCTAATCTTATCGTTTCTCGTGTGCCCACACATCCCACGAAGCATCCTCATCTCCGCTACACCCATTTTGTGTACGTGTTGATGCTTCACCGTCCAACATTCTGTGCCATACAACATCATTGGCCTTATTGTCGTCCTATGAAATTTTCCCTTGAGCTTCAGTGGCCTACGACGGTCACATAACACGCCGGATGCACTCTTACACTTCATCCATCCAGCTCGTATTCTATGGTTGAGATCTCCATCTAATTCTCCGTTCTCTTGCAAGATAGATCCTAGGCAGCAAAAACGGTCGCTTTTTGTGATCTTCGCTAGATTGCTCCGGTCATTAGTGTGGATAAGTATATAAATGAATAGAGATAGGAAAGCAAACACAAGATGTACGTGGTTCACCCCAGATTGGCTACGTCCACGGAATATAGAAGAGTTCTCATTAATTGTGAAGAGTTTACACAAGTACATAGGTTCAAGCTCTCCTTTAGTGAGTACAAGTGAATGATTTAGTACAAATGACATTAGGAAATATTGTGAGAGAATGATCTCGTAATCACGAAACTTCTAAGTATCGGAGTGTGGTATCGTCTTGACTTGCCTTATCTGTCTCATAGGTAGATGTGGCATCTTCTCTGGAAGTACTCTTCCTCCATCCAGGGGTGGTATCTTTAACTGGTGGAGATGCACAAGGTAATGTATCAATTTCACTTGAAGCTTACTTGTAGTTTCAGGCTTGGTCAAGCGCGATACAAACCATGTAGTAGGAGTCCCCCAAGTCGCCGAGCTAGGGGATCTGCTGAAAGAGGTGACAGACAAGGTAAGCAATCAGAGCTCCGGCTGATTGTTCACCTTCTCCCCATCTTGCAGCAGCATGAAGGATAAAGAGAAGAAAAATGAGAAGAGATGATATGGGATACTTTTGCTTTTGAAGAAGTAACTTTCCACAGGCTTATTCTTGAACTGAGCTGGAGGGTTTTCTGGTTTCCTCCAGAGCCGACTGAAGAATTTGAGGGTCAAAACAAGTCCATCAAATCTAGAGTACGTTCGACCCTGCTGATATGGGATACTTTTGCTTTTGACAGAGTAATGGATGTATCGGCACGTGTGCTGTTACGCTTGTCTCCACATGCTTCCTTGTATCCTTCGCACTTGCCCTATCTGTTCCTCAAGCAGATGCGGTATCTTCCTTGGAAACATAAGATGTTGAAGATGAGTACTCGAGAGCAATGCCAGGTAAGTAATCAGGTAAGGGGTTCCAGGCAGTCAGTTCCTGGCTGGAAGCTTGATGCCAAGTGCTGACTGATTGCTCTCTTTCTCCTTGTCTTGCAGGTAAAAACAAGGCCAAAGGAAAAGACAGGGAAAAAGCATGATATGGGATACTCTTGCTTTTAACCCTGATGATATGAGATATTCTTGCTCTAGTATAGCTTGTTTGCAGAGGTATTATCGGGGGGAAAGAAAGCTGAATATTTCGAAAGGCTTCGTGGGGAGTGCCCTCTCAGATATGAGGAAGGGTTGAGCATTTTTGCAGGTCTGCCTGTCCGTTGGGGATGAAGGTCGACATATATAGGAGTCTCCCTAACAAGTAGTAATGTTATTCCTTTACCCTGCTTGGTCATAGCACAGTAGTGGGAGCTGCCAGCTTCACATGTTTTAACTCTGTCAGAGCACTTTGAAAAAGTGGTCTGTGGTATCTGGCTCTCGAGAAGTCTTCGACAGAATGCCCATAATTTCCGCAAAGCTGAGTGTGCGTGTGACAGGTGCTGACAAGGCTAGAAAAGTAGGTGCCTCTTCGATTTCTGAGATCGGCCCTCGTGGTCTCTAAACAGCCCAGCTTTTGAGAAAGCGAGCGTCTCTTCGATTGATTCGGAGAACGATGCATCTTCGATTTTTAAGAAAGCAATCATGCTGGGGGTCTGGCTCTCGAGATTCGGGGAGCAGTGTCACTTCGATTTTTGAGAAAGTAATCATGTTGGGAGCAGCCTCTCCATAAAATGGGGGTAAGGCTAGCCGACATTCACCTCTCCTAGACCCTGCGTAAAGCGGGAGCCTTGTGCACTGGGTACAACCTTTTAATCATGTTGGGAGTCTGGCTCTCGAGATTCGGAGGGCGGTGCCTCTTCGATTTTGGAGCAAGCAATCTTGTTGGGAGTGTTTTCTCGAATGTGAGTAAAGGTTGGGCATGTTTGCTAGTCTACCTTGCCACGAAGCATAGAGGTTGACACACAGAGATTTTCCAATTATCCAGCAATGGTACTGTTCCTTTACCCTCTCTTCGATTTTTGAGAAAAGTAGTCATGTTGGGAGTCTAGCTCTCGAGATTCGGAGGACGGTGCCTCTTCGATTTTGGAGCAAGCAATCTTATTGGTAGTGTTTTCTCGAGTGTGAGTAAAGGTTGGGCATGTTTGCTAGTCTACCTTGCCACGAAGCACAGAGGTTGACACACAGGGACTTTCCAATTATCCAGCAGTGGTACTGTTCCTTTACCCTTGTGGGTAATAATATGGTAGCTAGACCTTCAAAATTTATGGGTCTAAACTTTGTTAGTGCTGTTTCTTTGCTATTCTTTTACCTTTCTTGGTCAGAGCGATGTAGTGGGAGCTGCAAGCTTTACGTGCTCAATTTTGGCAGAGAACTTTGGCAAAGTTATCTGTGATACCCATGAGCTATTGTTGCGTGTGGGAAGTGGGTGATTGAACAGTAAGATTCATGTGTTTTCTACTTCCTCAGAAGTCTTCGACAGAATGCCCATAATTTCCGCAAAGCTGAGTGTGCGTGTGACAGGTGCTGACAAGGCTGGAAAAGTAGGTGCCTCTTCGATTTCTGAGATCGGCCCTCGTGGTCTCTGAGGAGCCCAGCTTTTGAGAAAGCGAGCGCCTCTTCGATTTCTGAGATTGGCCTTCGTGGTCTTTGAGCAACCTAACTTTTGAGAAAGCAAACGCCTCTTCGATTTCTGAGATCAACCTTCGTGGTCTCTAAGCAGCCCAGCTTTTGAGAAAGCAAACGCCTCTTCGATTTCTGAGCAGGTGCCTCTTCGATTTCTGAAGCTCCGTCGAGTGCAGATTTTTATAGGGGCTGGCATTAAGTTCCGAAGCCCACTTGAATCTCCACCAGTAGAAGCTCCATTCTTGCCCTTCTAAGATCTTGATTTGTCCAACCTCTTCTCTCTTCAACACCTTTGAAAATGTCTGGCCCCTCCGACCGTCGTTTTGACTTGAACCTTGTTGAAGAGGCAACCCCGCCTTCTCCAGACAACATATGGCGCCCATCCTTCGTCTCCCCTACTGGTCCTCTTACCGTTGGGGATTCCGTGATGAAGAATGATATGACTGCTGCGGTGGTGGCCAGGAACCTTCTCACGCCCAAAGATAACAGACTACTTTCCAAACGGTCTGATGAGTTAGCTGTTAAGGATTCGCTGGCTCTCAGTGTTCAGTGTGCAGGTTCTGTGTCTAATATGGCCCAACGCCTATTTGCTCGAACCCGCCAAGTTGAATCATTGGCGGCTGAGGTGATGAGTCTCAAACAGGAGATTAGAGGGCTCAAGCATGAGAATAAACAGTTGCACCGGTTCGCACATGACTATGCTACAAACATGAAGAGGAAGCTTGACCAAATGAAGGAAACTGATGGTCAGGTTTTACTTGATCATCAGAGATTTGTGGGTTTGTTCCAAAGGCATTTATTGCCTTCGTCTTCTGGGGCTGTACCGCGTAATGAAGCTCCAAATGATCAACCTCTGATGCCTCCTCCTTCTAGGGTTCTGTCCAGTACTGAGGCTCCGAAAGATCCCCCTCCGGTGCCTTTTCTTTCTGGGGCTCTACCGACTGCTGAGACTTCTCCTAAGCAACCCTTGTGAAGGCTCCCTCTTGTTTGTTTATTACTCATGTATATGTACATATTTGTAGTTTATCGGGGATATCAATAAATAAGTTTTCCTTCATTTCAATGTATTGTGTTAAATTACACCAAAACCTTCTTCGCTAAGTTCTTTGAATTTTCTTTTGTTGAAGCTTGTATGTTGAAGCTTTCTGAGTGGAGCATGTAGGTTGGGGTAGTGTTCCCTTAATTTCCCGAGTGAGGAAAACTTCTCGGTTGGAGACTTGGAAAATCCAAGTCACTGAGTGGGATCGGCTATATGAATCTTAGAACGCCATTGTGCTCGGTCCTGTGTCATGTCCTTCGTTAGATCCAAGTACTTTAAGTCTTTTCTTAGAGTCTCTTCCAAAGTTTTCCTAGGTCTTCCTCTACCCCTTCGGCCCTGAACTTCTGTCCCATAGTCGCATCTTCTAATCGGAGCGTCAGTAGGCCTTCGTTGCACATGTCCAAACCACCGTAACCGATTTTCTCTCATCTTGCCTTCAATTTCGGCTACTCCTACTTTACCCCGGATATCCTCATTCTTAATCTTATCCTTTCTCGTGTGCCCACACATCCAACGAAGCATCCTCATCTCCGCTACACCCATTTTGTGTATGTGTTGATGCTTCACCGCCCAACATTCTGTGCCATACAGCATCGCTGGCCTTATTGCCGTCCTATAAAATTTTCCCTTGAGCTTCAGTGGCATACGGCGGTCACACACAACACGCCGGATGCACTCTTCCACTTCATCCATCCAGCTTGTATTCTATGGTTAAGATCTCCATCTAATTCTCCGTTCTTTTGCAAGATAGATCCTAGGTAACGAAAACGGTCGCTCTTTGGTATTTCTTGATCTCCGATCCTCACCCCTAACTCGTTTTGGCCTCCATTTGCACTGAACTTGCACTCCATATATTCTGTCTTTGATCGGCTTAGGCGAAGACCTTTAGATTCCAGCACTTCTCTCCAAAGGTTAAGCTTTGCATTTACCCCTTCCTAAGTTTCATCTATCAACACTATATCGTCTGCGAAAAGCATACACCAAGGAATATCATCTTGAATATGTCCTGTTAACTCATCCATTACCAATGCAAAAAGGTAAGGACTTAAGGATGAGCCTTGATGTAATCCTACAGTTATGGGAAAGCTTTCGGTTTGTCCTTCATGAGTTCTTACGGCAGTCTTTGCTCCTTCATACATATCCTTTATAGCTTGGATATATGCTACTCGTACTCCTTTCTTCTCTAAAATCCTCCAAAGAATGTCTCTTGGGACCTGCACACCCTCCCATAGATCCGAAGCGGCAGGAATATGATGGATCAAAATTAGGAAGATGATGGAGCGGCAAAAGGGAAATAGGTGATGGAAGAAACAGAGGATGGATCTAGAAGAAGGGATTGAAATAGAGGTAGATGAGGGAAGGAGTAGGAGGGAGAAAACAATGGATTCTGGAAAAGTACTCAAACCGGTGGAATCAACGGCAATTAGAGGAAAGGAAAGAGTAGATCGTGAGAGGTAGGGACAGGGAAAAGTTCAGGCAATTAGAATAACATGGAAAAACAAGGGAGCGCCACCATCCCTGGTCATGTCTAGGATCGGCGACGGGATCAACGAAAGTGAAAACCAGGACGGTGAGAAAAAAAACTCTCACAAGAGGAGAGAAAAGGTCGCACTACAAATGGACAAAGTTAGTTTGCCCCAATATCTCGCACGATCAAAATGTTCAAATCAAAGTGTAAACATTTTTCTTATGTTTAAGAGAAAGCGTTACTCTAACCTTATATACAAGAAATAGAAAACAATAAGCATTGCAATCTTTTCTTCCACACCGTGTTCATACGTTTCGTGTTCTCGAGACCACAACATTTTCGTTTTGTGTGTTTACGAGACTAGAGCGAGCAGTGTACGTGTGAGTTTTTCAGAATTTCCACTTCGACATTATTATTAATTTCACAGATTTATGCATGTTCACTTGAAAATTGGAATTAAAAAGGAAAAGTTAGGATCCTGGATTTACAAAAAAAGGAACTTACATTGAACAAACTAAACACCCACACTTATTGTTCTTGATGATCCAAATTAAGCTTCAACCGATTCATCCGACGAGTACATATAATGCGTATATGATTCCAGGTATGTATCCCAATATTGTCAGCAACAAACATATCCAGAACTCCACCTGCATTCACCCACAATAATTAACCCCAACATACAATTAATCGAAATCAAAATATAACCTTACAAAATATAAAAATAAACGAGGAATTGGTTAAAATGATCGGAAATCAAATCTCAATTGCTCAACTGTTCAAAATGATATCGACGACATACTGATAAACGATTCATTTTGGCAATTGAGATTTGAAAAATGATCGTTCCCGGACGATTTCTCAAAATGAAACGGGATTTGGGGAAGATGGGGTGAAAGAAACACTCACTGCACAGCCATAACGAAGGAAGACTCCCACAGGTGGGAGGACGATTGCCAATATCACTTCCAGAAACGTTTCTGAACCCATTTTTCTGACGATTGAAAAATCAAAACCACAACTTGTGCTAAATTTGGGTGACGATTTTGTGCTTTACATTTACTTCACTCAAAGTATGGGTTTATATAAGAGAAACAAATAGGCAAAGTCACAGTTACTAATAGGTGTCGCAGCCTAGAAATCTTGTCGCCACGTGGGATGTATATAGATCGACACGTGTCCCTTTCAAGCTTTGCTGTTGGTTTTCCATGCATGTTTGATCCAGGGGAAGTATTCTGCATACCCTGGATAAACTTTGTGCAACATGTTGGGCGGAGGAACACTTCTGCGTTCACACCTCGCACTTGGGATGTTATGAGAAAGAGATCAGGAGATTAAGGTCACCGGATCAAATGATTCTGGTTTTTAAAATTCCATTCATCGGTTCATCTGTTTTAACCTTTACAGTTATAATAATTTTTTACCGTTGGATGAAATTTCAAAAACCCGGATCACTTGATCCAGTGACCTTAATGGAAAAGATCCGAAGACGATCTCTTCTCATTTTTCACGTCTTGCAGACCCTACTTATATATATATTTTTTTTAAATTAGATGAGAATTAATGGCTAAATTAAGAAAAATTGTAAAAAATGTGAAATAGGGTAAAAGTACTGATTTGATTCAGCTGCTGCCGCAGAACTTTTTTCTGTTGGAACATATAACCTTTCAAACAAATTGTCCGTTCCAATTTTTTGTAGCAAAAAAAGAAAAATACATTTAATTATTTTTATGAAAGCCCAAATAATAATCAAGGCTGATAAACGTCGGGAAGTTGAAGCCCCACGCTTGCAGCTGATTTTCCAAGCACTCTCTTCATCTCATCTGTTCTATCCACAGCAATGCTGTAAGAGAACAACAAGTCCTGCACAATAAATACACAAAATTAGAGGCTTTACTGGAGATAAAACGACAACGTTACGATGCAGCTATAGGGTTTCTTAGATAACAAGTTACTGGAACAGAAGCTACCGCTTGCTAGGAGGCACAGCGGTGAAAGAAGCTGCGTACTCAGCCTGGACGAGAATACTAATTTACTCCATCACCAAATGTAGAAAAAAGAATTAATAGATTAGAAATAACACCCGGAAACTATAAGTTTTATACGTAGACACTTCACGAGTTGGAGAATAAAAACACCTCATGGATGCTATTTAGATTCGTTAATGAATATTCTTGAAATGTTATCGAGGGGTCCTAATTGATTTGTTTGTGAGTATTCAGATGAATTTTTCTCCCCATGCTATTTAGAAATGCCCTCATATGGTAAATAGAAGACTCTAACATCAGATATTGATGTTCTCCGAATAAAAAATAAAAACTGCAGATATTGAATGGTAAGCAAGTCTAATGGCACAACTAGAACTTGATGCAACTAAAAGGAAATCATTTCCGTATCTGTTTATCCTACCAACCAGAGGGGCGTTGGAGGTGTGCAAAAGGTGCAGTGGCACAAGGCCCCGAATTTTTTAGGGGCCCCAAATTTTTTGATCCTCCCTTATATTACACACGAGTATAAATTTCTAATAAAAAAAAGTTTTAAGCAGAAAAGAAAAATCATCATCATCACAATTACCGACCCCACTTAGTGGGAAAATGCTTTGTTGTTGTTGTTGTTGTTTTAACAATAAAAAACTTGTGTACTACTTTCTTCTATTTTTCTATTAAGCAATAAAAAACTAACTTGTGTATTACTTTCTTCCACAAATACAAACGTATTTTCATATCTCTATTTCAGCTGTGCTCCATTTTTTTTTTATAGATGAAGCCAAAATCATGACTTTATTTTGGAGATTATTCAATTAGTAAGAGGGATGCTGATTTCAATTAAGTTTGGATATTGATTGTTGAGCTTTGTATGGATATATTGTCCAACAACAATTTTTTTTTAAATAAGAAGGGCCTTTTTATTAAATTCGCACATGATCCTCAAAATGTCAGAGACGGTCATGCTACCAACGCAAGACATATGTTGAATACAGCAATCACGAAAGCGACCCAATATAATGAAACATTACAAGAACCTTGCAGAAAGTACAAAAAGGAAAGAAATTTGATTAGAGCAATGAAGGTCTGCAGTACCTTGTGATGGTGCACACTGTTGAGAAGAAAAGTGTAGTTCTCGGCAAGCTTAATCTTATGCTGAATGGAAGATGGGTCTGACAGTTTGCAGTTGTTCCTAAATTCTTCGGTTGTGTACTTTATAAAATGCCTCTTATTTTCTTCTTTGGCAACGTGTTTCTTCACGGCCTTGAGAAGGTGGCAGTACACCTTAGCGACCTGCAGAGCCTCGCCGCTCATTTTCAACATCTCAAGCTTATACCATCTTTTGTTATATCTCCGCCCTGCATCAGGAACCGGATGTTTTCTTTTCACAAAAAGGGTTGAACTTTTAATGGATATCGGAAGCAAGTCTTTCAAACTCAATGAGAAACACTTGAAACTTCTTATTCACAAGGAAAAGACACTAAGACAGTAAAACTTTGAACAAGGCTAATGAAAAGAAAGTAAAATTCAACAATAATATTGCTTGAAGATCTTCATACGGAAAAGAAGAAAAAACCCACAAAAGTAGCATATCCATGAGGCTGTAATTTCATGACATTTTCATAACATAAACTGCTTGTAATTTCATTCATTTCCTTCATAGTGCCATGAAGTGGTTTTATATAACAAGGTTTGGAAGGGTAAAGACAAAAGGGGTAAGAGGTATACAGACACTACTAACCGAATGGCTGCACAATTACAGATCAGAAATGCTAAATTATACCGCTTGCAACAGCTCACATAGCAGCAAAACAAAGTGCCACCATTGCCAAATTGCTACCTGGGTCCATGAAAAGGGCTACACCTAATCCCACATAGGAGAAGAACCTCAAGCCTGGGATTTCACGATGGTGGTCTCCCAAGTCAATCACACAATGCCATGTGAGAAAGAAAACACATGATAATGCTTGATTAGCTTGAAATACCGTCACTGTGCCAATCATACCATCATGAGCGGGTAAGTTTCTCTCCATCCTACGACTCTACGACTAATGTAAGCAATTTGTACTACATTATGACTAGTTATTGTAAAATTTAGTCCATATATTTGTTAAAAAAAATTAAATAAATAAATGTGTGACTCGCGAATTCAAAATGATTTTTTGCACAAATTTAGCGTAGTTTGTATTAAAATGAGTTTGATTAATAAGCATAATATAAATATATACAATGTAGCACCACACTTAATATTTTTTCAATGACACTACGTTTATGCCCCACCCGTAGTAAGTTTTCTATTTGTGCCACATAAATAGCTTAAATAGATATGTGAAAATAACAACTTACACAAAACGAATTTATTGTACCTATAGCACTTAAATAAAAAAATGCACAATCATTTGTGAAATTTTATGCATAACATTTAATTATTAAACTGGGACGACACGTAGCGATGTATGTAACATCCCACATCGTCCAGGGAGTGGATCTTGTAAGCTTTATATGTATATTCTCATATATACCTAGCACGATGCCTTTTGGGAGCTCACTGGTTTCAGGTTCCATCGTGTGAGTTCCCAGAAACAAAATCGTGAGGGCATGGTCGGGGCCCAAAGCGGACAATATCATACTATGATGAAGTTGAGCCCGGTATGTGGTGGGAGCTCGGGCGGGGATGTGACAATATAACCTAAGTGATATAAGTTGAATTTTTAGAAAGTTTAGTTGTCAAAATTTGAGTTTTATTTTGACCAAAATAAAATAAATTGAGTATTAACGGGTGTAAATGTAATTTAGCGTATGTACCAAACCCGGATTCGTTTCGTGCTTTGAGTTGGAGAGCGTACAACCTTTGCTTACTTTGAACTCGACGCTCCCAGAAATTGAGACTGTCATCATGTCGCGGGAGAGACCCAAAAAAGGCGCATTGCCTCCCGCCCAGGAGGTACGCTACCCGAACTCGTCCTTTTGACCCTCTCGGTTTCTTGTGAAAACCAAGAAAAAAGTTTGAATCTTTCCTCAAGTTTTGCTTTGATCTTTGCTTCCACAGTTGGAAAACGTTCGATTAAACAAATTTATGTGGCGGGTTTTGTTTTCTGTGCTGGAAATTAATGGAATTTCTCAGATTTGAGATTCTGATACGTAATTTTCTTTACTTTCTGAAGAATTGTGATAGATATGATCGGCACTGTTTTGTGTGGTTTTGATCTGGAATGTGATGCGCTCAGTGTTTTTCGTATTTGCAGATTCTAGTCCATAAAGCTGCTTTTGGCTTTTGACCTTTGTTGTATAAACATTTAATTTCTTCTACAAAAGGTTTTTGCTTTAGATTTCCTTCATTCCAAATAACAATTGCAGCCGGAATTTGGTTGTTGAGATTATGGTGACACGATAATTATCGTTTCGATATTCGATGCTTTGTTTCTTTGATGTTCGACGCTTAGTTTCAATGCAGAACAGATTTCAGTTTCGTTCTATCAGCAACAGTTGGTTTTAGGAAGGAAGGGTTCCAATTGCCTTTTTGTTTTTCTACTTTAAATGCAGAATATTCAGAAATTAGAGAAAGTTGTAGATGAAGGTAATTTCTATGGAGCTCAACAAATGTACAAATCTATTAGTGCAAGGTACGAGTGATATGCTCTTTATAATTTCTACTTACATAGTTTCTATTAGCTAGATGTGAACCCAGCCAATCTTACGGGATGTGAGTGCCCGGTTGATTGGCTGGGTTCACATCTAGCTAGGCTTTTTCCGCATTGGAGAAAGCCTCATTTTATGTAACTGTCAGCATGGGGAACCCAGGAACCCACTTTCTTCCTTTGTTTTTCTTAAAGGCATGCACCTTGATCAATATGGCTGCTTTATTGCAGATATGTAGCTGCTCAGAGGTTTTCCGAGGCTGTGGATATCCTTCAGTCCGGTGCATGCAACCAACTGAAACATGGGCAGGTTATTACTTTCATGGTTCTGCTTCATCAATACTTATCTTACCTTTAGTTGAGATACTAAGATACAAACATGCAGAAAATATAACATGACATTTCATAATCAAATCTGTATTACTGATTGTGTATATACGGAAACAATTTCAGGTTACTTGTGGTGCTGAGTTAGCTGCTTTGTTTGTGGAAACACTTGTCAAGGGAAGATTCCCTTATGACGATGAAACCTTAGGTCAGTTGTTATCTTAGGTATAGAATTCATTTCTCGATTGATTCACTGTTGGCTTGTTCTTATCTTCTGTAGTAATTTTTAAATGCTTTTGAACTTTATCTTGGTTGGTTCTAGTCACATGGTTCTTCTAGCAGGTACTGTTCGTATCAGAATATCAGTGTTATGATAAATAGAATTTTTGGAGATGAATCATGATTCACATGTTTTCCTGGCCATTTTTGGCGTTTCGGTTTTTCTAGTATTATGATTCTTCTAGTTCGTCGTGATTATGACAATTTTTTGTCAGTTCGTGTCAGGAAAATTTATAAAGCATTTCCTCGGATACCTGTGCCGCAACAGTTAGGGGATTTAGATGACATGCAACAACTGTCTGAAACACTTGGGGCAGCAAAAACATGTGTTGAGGGCTGCTCATCATTCTTAAAGGCTGCTCTTAAGTGAGTTTATGTGCAATATTTTGCTTTTCCCGATTTTGAAAGAGATTTTATGGTTATGTTTTTGGTCTTTTTTATGTGGGAGTGAAGATATTTGATTCCTCTCTATCTTGACTATTCAATGCTATTTGATATTCGTGTGCTTTTTTCTTTTGTTTAATCCATGCTATTTAACTCTAACTAAGTGTTTGGTTGGTGGGAAAAGGGGCTTGAGAAATCGTTTACTTTCCCATGTTGGATAAGTGCAAGGAAGTGAAGATTTTGTAATAAATGCTGAGGGAAAGAAGATAATGCCGTTACTTATAGCCTTTTAACAGAAGCTATTCCCCCTTCCCGGAGCCCCGCTTTTTCCAACATTTATTAGCATTTTTATAGATATTCAGTACAAAATTGGTCTCATTAACTATTGAAAAACCAATTATACCCACAACCGCAGTTCATATTCAACTCTTTTCCCCAACTTATCCCTATTAAGGAAAATATCAATTTTGATTCTTTATATCCTAGTTAAATTCATGATTGTACAAAATATGTGTGTACCTGACGAGCACACGCAATATGTATTAAATATGTGCTTTACTTATATCAGATCCCAGAGTGTCATCGAGTACTGAAAATGCGTTGCTGTTTCTCTCTTTTCAGGTGGTCTAAGGAGTTTGGTGCACCCAGGAGTGGAGCTCCAGAAATACACGTTATGCTAGCAAACTACATATATTTTGAATCTCCTGAGGTGGTAAGTAGCATCTTGATATATATGTGTTTGTATATATACATTTATATATCTATATCTATATCTATATATATTCAATCTTTGTATTTAGCTCGCAAGTGCATACATCTCAAGCATAGTCTCCATATCTAGAATTTGGGAGTTCCAATTTTTGTCCACCTTTCACAAATAACTGCTTATTAATTGCTAGTAAGGTCAAATGGAATATTGGACCAACTTGATTTTGGCCAACAGATCACTTTATACACATTTATTTACTGTCGTTTTCTACTTGAAAATGTTGGAATCATTTTGTTTCTCATAGGTTCTTCATGCTGTTCAAACTATTCTTGTATTCATTTGTTCTAATGTACTTGAATTTGAAACGTGTAATCAAAAGGTCCAGTTTATACCTTGAATACTTTCGACTCTTGCTATCAGCGTAGAGTGAACACTAGTATCTCGTTTGATTGCTTGACAGGACATGGTTAGAGTGTCACATCATTTTGTTAGAGGAAACAACCCCAAAGAGTTTGCTTTGACTTTAGTAAATTTTATGGGCAAGGTGAGGCTTTTTCCCCCACTTAACACTTGAAATCAATTTTCAAAAATTCGGAAAAATGTATGCTTTGACTTGAACGGAATTATAGTTACCTTTTTTATGTGAAGTTTTTATGAGGTTCACACTTCTTGACCATGCAGTGTTATCCAGAGGAAGATGATTTGGCCATTGCCCGAGCGATTTTAATGTAAGCCACATCTCTGCTATGTGCTTGTATAGGCAATTCAAATGTTTTGTTCCCATTGATATCATTGATGATAGTTGAACACCCAATCTGGATTATCGGACCTGAATCCTGGATTAGCTTCAATTTCTGAAGTTCACAATGAGCGCAATAACTCCATAACCTGAGTGAATATTTTGTAAAAATGAGAACAATAACTTGATTACAATGTAAAGTGGGAATTCCCTTTCTAAATTTTAACTTTTTTGGGGGAACTATGAGAACAATTGAACATACACATTCAACTACCGTCTCGCCATGTTTATATACATTTTCTTTTTCTTTTGTTCTGAGATTGAGCAGTAGGCTAATCCAGCTAATTCTGTTTTCGGTTTTCCTATAGAGTTGATTTTGTGTCTTTCTATTGTAGGTATTTGTCAGTTGGTAATCTGAGAGATGCCAATATTCTCAGGGATGAGATAAAGAAGCAAGTGGAGTCTAAGCAGCTTGACTTTCCCATATCCGATTTGATCCAGTTCATCAATTTTCTTTTGCAAACGTATGTTGCGTTCAATTCTCCCTTTTTATTCATGAACCGTAACAATCTTATACCCCATCTCTAGAGAAAGATCCATAAAAATCTTGTCTGTCTAAATGGATTTTGGAGCATGGTAAAAGAAAATGAAATGTACTGTTGCTTGGCTTCCGTTTTGCTCATTTTAGAGGCAATCAATATTGAATCAAGCCATTAAAAAGTAAAATCCTAAAGTGTAATTTTCGGTGACTTGGTCAATCAAAATATCAATGATTATACTGGAAATATGCAATTTATTTATGCCCCTCATCTTCATGCATCAAAATATCGATGGCCAAAGTCTCGAGAAGATCATTAAGGTTTAATTAGATTATGAAATGAGAAGAACTTCAATTATTGATCTGTATGGTATGAGGTTTACAAATTGCTGAATTATTCTGAATGTTATTCTCAACGCAGGTTGTTGAGAGATGCTCTTCCACTTTTTAATATGTTGAGAGCGAAATACAAATCAAGCCTAGACAGAGAACCAACATTTCATGAGGTATGCGATTTTTTCTGCGTGACAACCTTTAACAAATTTGTGTTAAATGATTCTATCACTAAGGTGTACTTTTGTGCAAAGGTATATGCTAACTATGAATTTATGGTTTAGTTGCTGGATGAAATTGCGGAGAAGTTTTATGGAGTACGACGCAGAAATCCACTTCAAGGGATGGGGATGTTCGGCGAGATGTTCAAGGTAATTATGCATTGCCCACAATATTGTAGCTTGTAACGGAGTTGAAACTCTTATGAACGGTTAACCATAATTTGTTATGAAAAACTAGAGCGGAAACTGTAATCCACAAAATAATAACGATACAACTCCGACGGAGACTCTGTTCCATGAAAAAAAGCTGAGTGAGTCTTGAAATAACCGAGCAGCATTCTTATTGGAACATACATCCTTGTTATGCAGATGATGGGAGGTGAATAGTGGCGCGATGGAGCATCAAGTTCTCGCTTCCTCGACGGATCCATCAATGCTACCGTTCTTGTGCCGGTTGATGGGAGTGTGTGTATCTGTATTTTCGCCTAGTTAGATGCAGATCTTGTGTTTGTACCATCAACAGAATAATTTTTGTGTTTTAATCTGAATATTCCAAATTGTATGATTTCTTGTCTTTCATGGCCGTAATTTATTCCGGATCCTGAAATTTGAGTACTGAAATTCGTTTGTTTAAGCTACACATCTCTGAAACAAGTTCAGAAATCGACTGACATAACAAGCCAGACATCTTGGAGCTCCATGCGGAGGTCTAATTGAGCATCCCGAGGACCAAACTTGTCGCCGTCTGGCAACGCCTCCACCACCTGACCGTACTCTTCGAAGCTCTCCGGAGTCTGTGTGACGGCCTTGAGCTCCACCAGCTTCGACATGCCGGAGATTTCCATCTCTTTTTGTCTTCTTTCCTCTAAATAAAGAATGAGGATCCTCTCCGGATTCTCTTTGGGAATCCATCAATCACATTTGTTCATCGTACATTATGCGGTCAGTTTTCGTCAAGTACTGTTTATATTTAATTTTAAATAAAAATATTTACAATGATTTCTGACAGTACGATATATAAACAAATTATGATTGGAAGATTTCGAGATTCTCACAAACAGGATACGGAGAGGATTCTCATTCCTAAATAAAAATCCAAATATAGAAATTTTCTGTTCCCTACTCGTCCTTTTCCGACGGATGAGGATCGAAACGCTGCCGTTCCCTTTATCCAAGTAAACGCAGCGTTTCGAGCTTCCCCAAACTTCAAACACCGAGCATTTTCTTCTTCTTCTTCAACCTACTGCAACTCACACTCGCAATCCATGGCAGCTCCAACTCAAGCCCTAACTCAGCGTCAACTCCTCAAAACCCTAACCAACCTCTTGACCTCCACAAAAATCCTAAACCCAGAACCCCTAAAACCCTACATTCCTCACCTGACCCAACCCCTCCTCCTCTCCATCATCTCCTCCAAAGCCCTAGCCTCTCAACCCACCGCCCTCCTCTTCTTCTTCCGGTGGGTCCAGGATCACACGCCCTCCCTAACCCAATCCCCACAGACCCTCCTCGCCCTCCTCCCCTCCCTCTTCACCCACCACAAGTTCTCCGACGCCAAAGCCCTCCTCGTCCAATTCATCGCCGCCGATCGCAAGAACGATCTCCACCGCCTCATTCTTCACCCGGACCCCACCGTGCCGAAGCCCTCGAAGGCCCTTCTGGACACTTCCATTGGGGCGTATGTGGAATCCGGGAAACCCCACCTTGCAGCCCAAGTGTTTGATAAAATGAAGCGGCTTCGGCTTCAGCCCAATTTGCTCACCTGCAATACTCTGATTAATGGTCTGGTAAGGTACCGGTCATCGCAATCGATTTCATTGTCTAGAGGTGTGTTTAAGCATGCTGTTGAGTTAGGGGTTAAAGTGAATACAAATACTTTTAACATTTTGATATGTGGGTATTGCTTGGAGCATAAGTTTAGGGATGCTGTAGAGTTGTTGAGTAGGATGAGTGAATTCAGATGCATGCCCGATAATGTGAGCTATAATACGATATTGAACTGGCTGTGTAAGAAGGGGCAGTTGAGTGAGGCCCGGGACTTGTTGTTGGACATGAAGAATCGAGGGTTGTTTCCGAATAGGAACACGTTTAACATTTTGGTTTGTGGGTATTGTAAGATGGGATGGTTGAAGGAGGCAATGCAGGTGATTGAGTTGATGACACAGAACAGTTTGTTGCCGGATATTTGGACGTACAATGTCTTGATTAAGGGGTTGTGTAGGGAGGGTAGGATTGAGGAGGCTCTGAGGCTTCGGGTTGAGATGGAAAATTTGAGGTTGATGCCTGATGTTGTCACGTATAACACATTGATTGATGGGTATTTTGAGTGGAGCAGCGATTCAGAGGCCTTTAAGTTGGTTGAGGATATGCATGAAAAGGGAGTGAAAGCAAATGCAGTTACTTATAATATAATAGTAAAGTGGTTCTGTAAAGAAGGGAAGCTGGATGAAGCCAGTGATACTATAAGGAAGATGGAGGAAGATGGGTTTGCTCCTGATTGTGTCACTTATAATACTTTGATTAACGAGTATTGCAAGGCAGGAAAAATGGCAGAAGCATTTAAAATGATGAATAAGATGGGTACGAAAGGTTTGAAGATGGACATCTTTACTCTCAATACTCTTCTTTACACTCTCTGCAGTGAGAAGAAGCTGGACGAGGCATTTGAGTTGCTTCGTACTGCAACTAAGCGGGGTTATATTCTTGATGAGGTAAGCTATGGAACCTTGATCACGGGATGCTTTAAGAACGAAAAGGCCAACAAGGGTTTCAAGCTTTGGGATGAGATGAAGGAGAAGCAGGTTGTTCCCAGCATTGTCACCTATAACACTATAATTGGAGGCCTCTGCCAGTCTGGAAAAACTGATCAAGCATTTGACAAGTTGAATGAGCTTCTAGAGAGGGGTCTAGTCCCGGATGGAATTACATACAACACAATAATTCATGGTTACTGCCGTGAGGGGAATGTTGAGAAAGCATTTCAGTTCCACAACAAAATGGTTGAGAAATCATTCAAGCCAGATGTCTATACATGTAATATTCTTCTTTGTGGGCTATGTAGAGAGGGTATGTTAGAAAAAGCTCTTAAGCTTTTTAACACATGGATTTCGAAAGGGAAAGACATTGATGCAGTTACTTACAACACATTGATATCAAGCCTTTGCAAAGAAGGAAGGTTTGATGATGTTTTTGCTCTTTTTTCGGAAATGGAAGAAAAGAAATTAGCACCAGACCAGTATACATACACTGCCATTCTGGGTGCACTTACCGATACTGGTAGGATTAAGGAAGCAGAAGAATTTATTTTGAAAATGATTGATATGGGAAAGTTACCTGATTGGCCCCCAGAATTGGAGAAGGTTAAAAATGGAGTGGCCGAATCTTCAGTTGAATATGATTCAAGCACAGGAGCCTATTCAGAGAAAATCATTGAGTGTTGCTTTCAAGGTAAATATAAGGATGCAATGCACATTTTGGAAGAGTCAATGCAGAAAGGCATGACGTTAAATAAAGATGTTTACATTAATTTGATGAATGGGCTGATTAAGAGGCGAAAAAGCATATCAAAAGCTGTTAAGCTGTAGTGACACCTTAGGCTATTTTTGACAATGTCAGAGTGCCCAAGCCTTGCCTACACGTTCTATTTGAATTGGGCAACAACTGGACCAGGTACAACCTTTTGTTTTCTTATCTTTTCATGTTTATCTAATTGTCTCATAGACTCCGGTTTCAAGTTTAATTCTCATACAATCTCACTTAGTTCAAAAGGGTTAGCTAGAAGAACATAGAAATATTGACAGTATGATCCAGTTTGTAGATGCTTAGAAGAATGAAATTTCTTAGTAACTATGCAAAATGTCACTTTCCATCTATTTTGAAAACACAAAAGAACATCACTTTTTGTCTCGGAACCGAGTGCTGTTTAACGTTTTGCAGTAATGAAGAAGCCAAGGGACATCGGCAACAATATTATTTGCTAATCTTTTTATTCTTTTTGGACATGCAGCTGGAGTAAATTCAAATTGGTAAAGGAAGATTTGTTTTACAATCTGCTGATGGTTTTATTGATGAGTGCTGATCTAAGATAAAATTAAGTTTGACATTTGTTGAATGTCGCAGGTTCCTTAAACAAAAGAAAACAGTTCACGTGAAATGAGCAACGTTTCTTTGTCCATGCCATTAAATTTGAGGTTTGGTGGTGTTTAAGTAAAGGCAGGGCATGGAAATCTTATCCTCCATTCTGAGACCGAAATTGGGAGTCGGCAGCTAAAAGTGGGACTAGCTTTCTTGAAAGGCATTTCTTATGGCTGATGCGAGGAGAAACGGGTTCATGAGGTTAGCAATAATCTGCAAGATGTAAAGAATCAAGTTCATTTTTCTTTCAAATTTGTTCTATATTTGAGAATGATAGAGGGAAGAATGAAGGTGGTAAGGTTCCACATCAGCCTACAGTGTAGTACAAGGGAAAGTTTCCCTTAGAACAGATCGTAATGTTTAAGAAGTGCTGGGTGTCATATTGCATCTTTCTTAGCCCTTTCGGACAAGATAGAGTTTTTTTCTATCATTCTTGACAGTGGCAATAGAGGTCGCACTTGGTGCGATGGCAAGTGCCTTCGCCCATGAGCGGTAGGTCTCGGGTTCGAGACTTGGGAGCAGCCTCTCTATAAAATGGGGGTAAGGCTAGCCGACATTCACCTCTCCCAGACCCTGCGTAAAGTGGGAGCCTTGTGCACTGGGTACGACCTTGACAGTGGCGATATTCCTAAGGTTTGCGGAACAAGGGAAACGCAGTCTGCGGGTTACAGCATGTGTCATACTATCAGCGATTCAGCATCAAAGAGTAATTCTCCTCGACAGCCAGACTTCCAACCCCATTCCTCTTCAGAAAGAAGGAAAAGCCATGGTCAATGAGGGGATGAAAGATACATTATCCATCGCATACGCGTGTTAGAAATGGATTAGACTATATGAGTTCAGATGCATTGCGTTAGGACTGAGCGCTCCACAAAAGTGTCACCTCACTTTCGCGAGGATCCCTGCAATTTCTGGTACAATTTGTGCTTTAAAAGTTGTCAATGATGAAAGGAAGAGAGCTGTAAGCTGCATGATTGTATTTATATGCCATTGCTCTCTCTGTATTATAGATGAACTGTCTTTTATATCTTCCTGAAAATATCCCGCCGTGTAAATTAAGTGTTTGGATGATGAGAAAAGAAAGAAATTCAATAAAGATTATGAAGGATGCTGGTATTATCCCATAACCTCTAGTTTTGCATTTCTCTAATGTGTTGGAGAAATGGAGTTTTTCATTATAAAAACGAGGGAGGAGTGCGAAAAAGAAAACGAGATTCTGAAAATCAATACCTTTATAAATTTTTGTTTAGAAATTTCAGCTTTACCCAACCCTAATGTAGAACATTTTGAGTTTGTGAGTCTACTTGACTATAGTCACAGGCAAGGTGACATTTCTATAGCTTCTTCGGGGCCAGAAAAGTGGATAACCGTGATTTGCCACCAATTGTTCCATTTTTATCTTAAAAAAATAAAACGAACCCCGAATATAAAGACACTTCTCTTATCGACCTTCCAACACTAGGCTGATGTCAAACTTTATACATTGTTACCACTTAGCAGAAAATCATTTTCTTTGTAACGGCCAAAAAAAGAAAAAATTTGATTTTCACACGCCCATAATCTCATGCCCAATCTTTATTTTTGTCATTTGATTCCAGTGTTTAAAATATCAATATGCAAATTATGAAAATACCGATGGATATATTATTACCGGTTGCCCTTGACTAAAATTATAAAACTTTGCAATTGAGCATGTATATCAACTTATTCAAATTTAGTTGAAATTAAAAAGAAAATTAAGAATAACGGGGTGACACAAATAGTCTGGTCATAATAATTTGGAATAGCAATATCATTTGTATTAAAAAAAGGGAACTTTAACGAAAAGCACCCGGTACTGTTCACTTTAACGAAAAACCACATTTTTACACTAAAAAGTCAATCCTGGTACTATTCACTTTACCCTTTATTTTGTCCTTATCATTAAAACTCAAAGTTTTCAAGCCTTTTTCATTAGTTTTTCCTTTAAAACATAAATAAACACGGGTATGCAAGGGGAAAAATGTATAAAAATCACTTTAAAAAATATTACAGAAAAAATGTCTACATTTGTCAAAAGTTGTATTCCTACCTAACCATTAAGTAAAAGCTTTAGTGTTCGTTTATATGTGCTTTTAAAATGATTGAAAGCGCTTTTAGAGAAAATATTTTTGAATTCCAAAAGTACTTTAAGTGCTTTCTACGAGAAGCACTAATTATGTGTTTCTTTCAAGAAGCACTTTACATGCTTTTTTCAGGATTTACTAACATATTTACTAAGAATTATATATATCGGTATACTGTAGCAAATATAAAATTTTATAGTTCATTTTTGCAATATGATAAAGCAAACGGAACTTTAACGAAAAGCTCCTGGTACTATTTAATTTAACAAAAAACCATATTTTTACACTAAAAAGTCAATCCTAGTACTATTCACTTTATCCTTTATTTTGTTATTATCGTTAAAACTCAAAGTTTTCAAGTCATTTTCTTTAGTTTTTCATAAAGCAAAAGCTTATTAAACTTTTTAAAAGTTTGATTTTGTCTCCAATTATTTAAATTCCTCTTGAATGATAAAGCAAAAACCTCACTAAAATTGTGTTAGCTTTTGATTTCCCATCAATCATCATTTATTGGCGTACATTTTAGTTAATGAAACAATTAATTGCTAGATTTTTCTGTTGGATTTAGATTTGCAACTTTATCTACACTAGTAACCGATGTTATGTTAATATGCCACTAAATTTTGAATCTTTGTAAATCTAATGCAACAATATAAAGCCACTTTTGGTGAGTGGCAATTTTTTTTCGCACCATCTTTTTTTAACTCCTTGTACACCCACTCTTTTCAATTTTCCGTTGTGTGATTGTATGAATTTAAGAAGACCAAAAGAGAAAAATGAACAGGGGGTGTGCGTGTAACACCTTCTTTTTTTTGTCAGATTGGTTTTTACATCACCATGTTGATAAAAGGGCAATTCCAAGCCAACAAGGCTCACCGCTTTGCGAGAGTCAAGAGATGAACATCTATCGTACGCAGTCTTACCTTTGCTTTACAAAGAAGCTATTTTCACAACTTGAACTCGTGAGTAACTTTTGGTCACAAAGGAACAACATTTGCGTTGCACCAAGGCTACGTGAAATGGTCATAGCATCATTATATCTCGTCTCTCCTCACGTGATCAAGCTATGTATACAAACTGTAACCCTCAATCAAGAATTTCTCCATCGTTAGCGTATGTACAAGATAATCACTACTGTAAATTCAGACATGTATGTTTATACACACACACACACACACATATTCCAACTTTATCAGACATTGTTATGCATATCCTGTTTGCAGTTTCAGGCACCATGTTGTCCCGTTTAGAAATTAAAAGGGCTTGCAGTACTAGTTTAATCAAAAATTTTAAAAAGTAGACACACCAATGACATAAAACAGTGCTTTTTCTTTGGTTTTCTGAAGCCCATGAACCCCAAAAGGCAGAAGCAAGAAGCCAGAAGCCAGCCAGAAGCCAGAAGCCAGAAGCCTCTCCCCAGTATGAAACCATGAAAGTCTCAAGACCAGGTGGACTTATCATTTATCTACAACCGCAAATTGGCTTCTGAGTTCTGACCTCAACCTCTGAAAGAGAGTGTTTGAGTTGGGGTAGGTGAAGTGGCATCCAACTCAAACACATATTAGGAAAGGGTGTATTCCACATATCAAAATTTTCTTCTGAACAAATTTGCATCTCTGGATCGTGCGGCAAGTACTGCCACCATTGCATATGATCTAGCAAACTTGGAATAAATTTGACCAACTATATTCAACTATGGACATGATACTATGGTTTGCATTCTCCAGGGTTAAACGTTGTCGTTGGCTATGTGTTAGCCTCTCAAAATTAATATTTTAAAGAATATTTGTAGGGCCAAATTTTTTCATCTCTAACCATGCAGAGCTAAATATTTTATTTTGGCTTGGGATGCACATGTTGGGTATCATCGAGGAGACTCAACTTACTATATGCCGCTAGCTCTAGATAAATTTAACCTAATTCTTTTTAGTAGATTCATTTTGGTCTTTGGCTAAAGATGACTTTTGTACAAATTCAGGTTAAAAGTGGTCTAGTCCATGGCCTGAGATGACCTAACAACACATTCAATGGGATATCCGTTATGAAATATTTTTGTTTGACTGTGGCAGTCACTATTTACGTGAAATGTCAACATAGTTTATACTTTAATCCTCCTACCTGGTTGATCGAATTCATGATTTTTTCATTATTTGATTACAATTCTAAAAATAAAAAATAAAAAAAACTCACTTTTCTTATTTCATAACTGAAATGAATCATCCATGTTTTAATGAACGCATGAATTTGAAGAATCAAAATAATCTCAATGTCCAATTTTATTAGGTAAGAATGCGTTAAGTGTACACGTGCTATAATTTGGATAGTTGAATAACATCACATACAATCACACACAATAATCTGTCATATAGGGTTACAGCTAGCCAAAAGTAGTGTAAGATAAACGAAGGATCACTCATATCAGTGGTTGCTCACGTATTACATCCAGCGAATAACATATCTCCTTTCCAAAAGACAATGTAAAGGCTGATCGATGGTCTCTGAACCTACGTTTGCAGATCACCAAGATTAATAAATTAGAAACTAAGAAAGCTGTGGGAATATTATTGGGGAAACCCTACCCATGCATGACGGAAATGACAGATATGACACATCATAGTTCAACAAAGCAAAGCAACCAACGCGTGGACCTTGTAACTTTGTTCCATTGCTTCTTATGAACAAATGGATGACAGTCTGCAAATTCCACATATGTTTATCTGATCCAAATCTTACAAATGCTTGCTTAATTAATTTGCATGGAAAATAAATTAAGAAAAATGCTAAGAAACTTTCTCAAAAGTGAGATTTTCTATAGACTCTCTATCACCTCATGTTTTTTTACATAATATTTTGTAATATTGTCACTAGAATTAACATTAAATTATAAGGTGACAGAAAATCTCACTTAACATTTTTCATAAATTAATTAATATTATATGAAGAGGGAATATTATTGTCTTGGGGAAGGGGTCCAAATTAATCAGTCAGTGATTAAGTTGTACAAATTTTAGGAACATAATGATTAGTGGATATTATTGAAGCAAAAGCATATATCTAACAACAAAAAGAAAAGTAAAGCAGATGAAAACACGTTTTGTGTGCATAATCGTGTTGAATAGAATATTATTTGGTCTAATTATTTGCATAAAGCGACTATTAATTATGAGATAGAGAAAAAAAAAAACACGTATTATAGGCATAATTTACTGAATAATTCTGAATATCATAGAGATAGGGGTGTGGCACATAGAAAGAAGAGAGAGATGTAATTGTGATGTGTTTTTTATTCTACCTCATTGTGCCTTTATTTATAGTAGTAGAGAATGTTAAATCATAACCCTAATAGGATTACAACTCTAATAGGATAATATCTAAACCTAGAAATATTCCAAGATATTCCTAGCTATAATAGGATTTACACAATCACATTCTTAATCTAATAGGACTGTAACACTCTCTCTTGAGTGTGTAAATACTCAACTAAGGGGCGCATCAGGTCTTCAGCGATGAAGCAAGTACAATTGATGAAGTTGTAGGCATAATGAGCGAATACGAGCCTCAAATCAACGGAAGAATGCATAAAAGGTAAAACTCACAAAACCTTGCTAAGGTAAAACCCAAGGTAGGATAAAAACCCATAGACTAAGGAGAAAAGTGAGAAGTTGCATTAAGTTGAAACTATACATCTTCTGGACGCTAGTAGAAGAGCTCACAAATGTATGACCAGACCAGAATGGGTGCCTCGTCAAAACCTAGTTAGGCAGCAAAAACCCAGTGGGAAAAATGCTCATAGTTGTAGGGAAAAAGAGTACATTAAGATCAAGTGAGTATACTTCTGGATACTCCCTCTGAGTTTGACAAAACTTCCAAATGAGAACTACAAGCATTGCATATGAATAGTTAGGCATACCAATTCCTTGGACAAGCTTCTGGAATGTTGACTTTGACAGTGACGTCGTGTAGAGGTCGGCAAGGTTGTCTAGGATCGGCTTGCATGACTTCAATCTCCTGATGCCTTGCTA